GGCATAGCATGAAAGCCTCGCTTCTCAGAAACATTGGCATCGATTCCATTGAGTGGTTCACAAGCCCATGCCTGAACCAACTGAGAGACTGAGAAATCATGACTGTGTTGGCAGAGACCCAGGGCACATACTGTACCCACAATTAGGGATGAGTCCCACAAGCTGTGAGAGAGAAAGGTAAGTGGCCTCAGAGGGACCACAACAGGCAAGCATGTCACTGAAATACTGTCGATACTGTTGTCTCCCCACTCCCCAAGCTTGTAGCCAACTAGAACCTCCTGGAAAATGGCCACCCTCTCCCTCACCATCCACTATCCCACCCAGTGGATCACAGGGCCCTATGGATCTACTGCCACCTCTCATCTCCTCTCTTCCAAGTCACCATGAATCTCTCACCTGGGCTAAAGCCATGATGTCTAAATTCACCTTCGATATGCATACATTTTTGTTTACCTTCTGTCAGCACTCCACATAAAAACCAGGGTGATTTTTTTTTAAAATGCCATCTAAAGAGGTTAGTCCTTTGCTGAAAATTCATCCAAGTCCCATTAATTAAAATCCAGGTGCTGCATGACCTGGTTTTGGCTGCCTCTGCAGCTTGATCACTGTGCACCACTCATGCTCGCTGTCTGAGCTCCCCAAATTCTCCAAGCTTCTTCCTGTCCCCGACTTTCTACATGTTCTCCCTCCGAGGAAGCCCTTCCCTTACATTCTGTCTCTCTGCTTATCTTCAGGGTCCAATTTTAGTGTCACTTCTTTAGCCAGGCCTTCCCTGACCCTCCAACATGAGATACCCTCATAGTACTTTGTACTTTCTTTTTATTGCATTTATCTGAGTTTTCCTTTTGTGTTAATTTAGCACCTTGTCCACTCCAGACCACAAGCTTAATGAACACATCAACCTTGCTCTATCTACAGAGCTCCTGTTTAGCACCGAGTAGACATTCAACAAATACTTCTTGAAAGTGATTCATTCTTCCTCATCTTAGACCTGTTCAGTTGTGTTATCCATAAGATAAAATAAGTGGTAAGGTTCATCATAGAGTGGGAATTTGTTGGTCTTGCTTGGCCAGGAGCTCCCTGGTTCATGATATGAGGTCAAGCACAGGAGAGAATAAAATTCTTTTGAGGACCTGCAATGTTAATCACATACACGCTGTTTCACTTTAATTCTTAGAACAATCTCTTGTGAGTTCAGTGCATTATCTCTCTTTTGTAGATGAGGAAACTGATAGTGCGAGATAAAGGGCCTCCCTCAATCTCACATGGTTCAAAAATGGTAGAATTGGGATACCACAGAAGGGGCTTGGATTGCAAAATTCCAGGTCTGATTGGATTATGGGAAAGAGAGTAGCCTGCTCATTTGTTTTTCACTACGGCATTTTCAAGTAAACCAAAGTCAAAAGCATAATAAACCTAAAAGTGCAGTCCTGTAGGTTTTGTGCTGCCAGTTTGAGTAGAACCATAGCTATGAAAGCATGGGGAAGGCAGTATAGAATTTGGGGGAGCTAAAGCTTTTTATTTCAGGTTTTCCTGTCCATTAAAATAAAGACCGGGGGGGTCTTGTAGTCCGGCAGCATGAAGAAATGGAGTCTAAATATTCTTCCTGTTATGCTGTTAATGGGATTTACATGTATTGAGTAACGCGGGCATAAAGTTAAACAGGATAAGCCATCCCATTTCCTTGTTTCTCCAGTTGCAATGATATACAAACTAGTGTACGTACTTCCTTTTTCGACTTTTCCTTCAAAGACCGTGAGTAACTATGTGTTTGGCACAAGAAGACTCTTAAAAGGGTAGGGTACTTGAGGGGGCCGTGTAGGGGCTGCAGCGGAAAGGAGGGCAAGAGCAGTGCGGGGACTGGTTTCTTGGTTCTTTCAAATAGTTTGTGAGGCTGAGGCTGGCTTGGTGGAGTGAGTCCTGCTAAGTTTGAAATTTGGTTTTGTGTTTAAATTCTTGTTTTAATGTCTCCGTAAAGCAAATCCACCCACCCTGTCTCCCCAACACTCTATATACATGTGTGCTTCATGTGAGAATCATGCAAAAGGGAACATGGAGGGCAGCTGTTACATATCAATTGATAAAGTAAAGGAGGGAAATGGCATTTCAGCATTTGGGACTGGTGGTGAGTCCTACATCCGACGAGTCGTGGAGAAGGGAAGCACTAGACAAGCGTCTTTCAACTATGGGTTAATCCCCACTGCAGTAAAGCATTAGCCAGCTTGACAGAGGACCAGTGCTTGGCAAGGTATGGCTAAATTTGCAAAAGACCCAGAGGGAACAACAACAACAAAGTCACCAAGTTGTTGAACAAAAGGGGAAAAGTAAAACAAACAAACAAAAAACCCAGCATACTCGAAGTGTTTTATTTAGAATCATTTCATCTGGAGAACAAAACCCTGGGACAGGGTAGAAAACGGTTCTGAGGTGGTGAATTTGTCTCATTTCCTACATACGGAGGATCCCCTGGAAGGAGACCAGATGGATGATGTCAGCAATCACGCTTTCATTCAGATGTTAATCGCACACCTATTTAGTACCAGCCACTGGTTACTGTGGAGAAGATGGGGGAAAGAGACATGGCTAATGACCTCCCTGAGCTTACAGTCTACAGAAGCACAACAAAACGTGACAAGTGCAAAGTTCAATGTGACAAGTACAAAGTCAATGTGACAAGTGCAAAGATAGAAGCACAAGCTGCTCTGGGAAGCACATAGCCAGGATTCAGGAGACATTGCCAGACAAGTAGGAATCTGAAGAAGAACACATGTGATGGTTAATTCTGTGTGTCGATTTGGCTAGGCTCTAGTACTCCATTTTTCACCAAATACTTATCTAGATATTGCTGTCAAGGTACTTTGTAGATGTGGTTAACATTTACAATCAGTTGACTTTAAGGAAAGATGAGGTGATGTGGGTAGGCCTCCTATGATCAGCCGAAGGTCTAATGAACAAACACAGGTTTCCCAGAAAAGAAGAAATTCAAGACTGAACTATTAACTCTTGATTGCGTTTCCAGTCTGCCAGAGCTTCCCTACGACTTGCCAGCCCCCACAATCCCGTGAGCCAATCCCTTAAAATAAATCTTTTACACACACACACACAAACAAACACACGCACAATTGGTCTGTTTCTCTGGACAACTCTACGGATACAGTGTCTTAGTCACCTCAAGTTGGAGACATGACTGGGGAAGGTGTGTGAGGGAAAGTGACAGTGCCCAGAGAGGCCTGGAATGGAAAAGAGAAGCAATCAGGAAGCACATTCTATGTGACCTGGAGAGCTTGAAAGGGTTTTAAGCCTGGGAGTGAGAGGAACTGATTCACATTTTTAGAAAGGACATCCGATTATTATTGAGAGCAGAAGTCAGGAAAAACATATTTCAATTCCAGCAGGAAGGAATTTCCTAATAAGGAAGACGTTTTTAATAGGAGAAAGAGGTGCTGCTGAATCTACTCCAGAATTTTTTTAAAAATTGGTATTTTTAATCATGGATGGCCACAGTTTTGCACAAGGGTTACAACTAGTTCTTTTTACAATCAAGTCTTTCTGCTCTACCTTACTCTCCTTCACGTCTATAGCTTTCACTAGGAAGTTCTCCTTGTCGCTGGGGAAAGAATCCAATCTGGCGAAGCAGCTTCTCTGGAAGATAACCTACTCTCTCGTACAGCGGTGGAGCTGGGAGGGTGGAGGTCAGCTGGGGATTCCCGCTGCGAAATTGAAAAGGAAGTGAGAGTTTACAAACGGACAGAAGTTCCGCCACACCGTGGGTGAGAGGACTCGCCTATGACAGCGGCAGTCTGCATTCTGCGTGCTTCCTATCCCTCCTCGGAGAGTTCGGTTCCCCTGCCCCAGTCCCCGCGAGTTCAGCTGCCCTCGCGCGGCGGTTTCCGAGTCTGGGCGGGGTCTGGTACTTGCCAAGCTGGGATCTTAATAGGGAGGTGTGCCCGGAGCGCCCAGTCAGACTAGCTCGGAGGGCTTCCACCCCGCTGCTCTACCAAGCACATTCGCAACCCCTGTCCCCAGTTAAAAGGGGTCTTGCCCTGAGAGCCTAACCGATTTCTCTTCCATTCTCTCTGCCATCCCTCGATGTCTTCACCCTGGCTCTCGGTGCGTTCCCCCATCTTTTTGGTCCGGAACATTCTGATCGGAGATCTCTGCCCAGCTCAAGCACACTTGGAGATGGGGTGGGGATTGCTAGTGACTCGATAACCCTTCCCCAGGCGTAGATGTGAAGAAGCCAGCACACTCATTACCGCCCCCACTCCAGGGGTCTCAGGTCGCCCAAGGGGGGCACTTCTGTGTACAACCGGGGGCAAGGGGGGGTGTTAAAGGGAGGAGAGGATGCCTACGTGCAGGGGTCGGAGGACCCGCGGCCCGGAGCTG